ACGAGTTCGTGACCTTTACTGTGCGTCTATGGTACAGTTCAGAGAAGGAAAAGTAGGTAAAAACCCAGGGAAAGTAGCAGGCAGTGAAAGGGGGATCTGCAGGGACCCCGGGGGGCATGGAGGGGGAGACAGGGGGGATCTGCAGGGACCCCGGGGGGCTGGGAGGGGGGAGACGGGGGGATCTGCAGGGACCCCGGGGGGCACGGAGGGGGGAGACGGGGGGATCTGCAGGGACCCCGGGGGGCACGGAGGGGGGAGACAGGGGGGATCTGCAGGGACCCCGGGGGGCACGGAGGGGGGAGACAGGGGGGATCTGCAGGGACCCCGGGGGGCACGGAGGGGGGAGACAGGTGCGAGGTGCTCCAGGGTTCAGCCCTTACCGTGGGTCCAGACCCAGCTCCCTGACAACTAACTCTTGACCCACAGAGAGCAGAATCTCCAGACCAAGTGTTAAATCCAGAATTCTGATTTATAGACTTATAGTGAGAAATACAACTGGATATGGAAACTTACATAAATTAATGAATGAAATCATTAAAAGAAACATATGTAGATAGTTTACGGAGGTGGTTTCAATAAGAAATTATTTTTCAAATACAAGGTTAGACTTCCCATTATTAGACTAACCCAGTTTTAAGGTGGAAAACATTTTAGTGACAAATGACAAAACACAACAGTAGACCAGGAGGACACAGTAGCTGTGACTATATATGCCCTTTCAAACATCCCACCACATATATATAAAGTAGCAACTGACAGAATTATGAGGGAAGATAGAGACAACACAATTTATTGCCCAAGAGCTTAACAGAGCCCCGTTAGAAACTGGTAGATTACAAGGACCAAAAAAAGTAAAAAACAAAAGGCATAAATGCATATAAAATTTGATTGACAAGATTAATAAAAATCCCGGGGCAAAATATATGAGTGTGTGGCAGGCACTGTCACCGCCATGGTGACGGGCAGGGTCGGGAGCTGGAGCCCGACCTCACAGTGCACCCAGGCGTGATACGCTCCCTGAGCATAATGCAATAGAATTAGAAATCAATAACAAAAATGATTAAAATAAATAAAATACCGTATGTTCAAACACTGAAATATCATTCTGCTAAAAAGACCTCGGGACGGAGAGCAAAGCTGGAGAGAATTACAGCACGCTGGGACGGCTCTCCAGTGCTGGCTGCGTGTGTAGAGGGCATTTATCAGAAAGTAAGAAAAATGAAACAAGCGGGAGCTAAGCGTTCAATTTGAGCAGAAAACAAAAAGAGAAGCAGAAGCAACCCAAAGGGGAAAAAATAAGGAATCAAAATGGGTGAGGGCAGAAATCAATAAACTAGGAAAGATTAGCAAAAATAAAAGCTGTTTCCTTAAAAGATTAGTAAAATGCACAGACCTCTGGCAAATCTACTCATGAAAATGGGGGAAGAAGCAAATTTACAAAACACAGAATCCAAAAGAGGAAATAACTCACAAAACACCAGAGACGTTTTTAATACAGAAATTTGAAAACAGGCAAATGGATGCATTTCAGGGGGGAAGTGTTATAATGTGGGAACTCTGGAGATCTGAATGTCTTTTCTTATTGATCTTTTTTAAAGCTTTAAAATTTTTAAACAAAAGTCCATGTTAGGGTGTGTCTGTGCCAAGGGGCAGCCTGAGACGTAAACTTGGAGTCTCCCCTGGTCTTTCCTGAGCTCGCCCCTCTCCCTGGGCACACGATGATCTCCTAACGTCCTCTGTACAGGTGCTGCCTTTGAATATCCTAGTCCTTAAACAACTGGCTCCCAAAAGGAAAAACATGGGGAAAGGAAGTGGAGGAAAACAAGGTACGCTTCCTTCAAACCCCCCGGAGGTTGCTTCAGCTGGAAGGGAAGGAGCTCTGTGCAATATGGTGATGGGGCGGCGGTGCCCTCCCCTCTGTGCTGTGTCAGTGACCAGGCCGGCATCCGCAGTGGGGTCACAGACACCCGACACTTGGAGAACAGAGTTTTTATTGCCCAGGGTGGGTCTCGCAAGGTCTGAGCAAGCTGCTTCAGGAAGACACGCACACCAGTGGAATAACAAACATCAGAACAGATGGAAAGGTCTGGACGCCTGCTGTAGCCTGGGTTGGACCTTGAAGAATTACGCTGAAGGCACAGACATGAGGAAGGCGTGTACGATTCCACTTGTAGGAGGAACCTGGAAGAGTGGGATGCAGAGAGCAGGAGCGTGGCATGGCGCAGGCTGGGCTGCCCGTGGGGCACAGAGCGCTTAGCGTTTCATGGGCACAGAGTTTCAGTTTGGGAAGACGGAAAGGTTCTGTGAATGATTGATGAGGACGGTTGCACAACCTGGTGAGTGTACTTAATGCCACTGAATCACACAATCAAAAATGGATAACATGCTTACATCTATGTTATGTATATTTTATTACAACTTTAAAAAAAAAATAAATTTTTATAAAGATCAGTGATGGCCAGAGGTTCAGAGATGAGCAGACAGAGTAAGTCTTCTAGGTGATTCTATAATCCGTGACGTGACTTGTTTGTAAGAATCTACAGCTGTGTAACGCAAGGGTGAACTCTAATGTCAACTGTGGACTTTGGTCAATAATCATGTATCGAAAGATAAAGATAAAAATAAACAAACAAACGAAGACCACGGAACAGCCAGGAGGGACAAACGGACGGCTGTCCAGAGGCAGGTTCCATGTGGCCGGTCACAAAACCAACCAGGAGCTGTTCCCTCGCCGTGAGGCGGGATCTGCCCTCGTAGTGACTTCTGCCCGACCCCTGGGAAAGTGTGGATGGTGTGGAAAAACCTGAACCTGATGCTGACTCTGCCCGGCACAAACATCGGTTCCTGGGGGACGATAAACTGAAATGGGAATGGAAAAATGTGTGGCCTAGAAAGTGACACAGAAAATGTCTCCACGGCCCTGGGAAAGAGGGAGGTTTCTTAAAACCAGAGCACAACCACCAACCTCAAAGTAAAGACAAACTGGATTTCATTCCAGTTAAGGACTCTAAGCATCAACTCAGAGCTTCTCTCATTGAAGGTCAACTTTAAAAGAGCAAACTGGCAAGCCAGAGACGGGAGAAACACATCTCAGTGTGTCTGCGACATGTGTGGCTCATACGCAGATGACTCCGCAGTGGGCAGAAGTCGTGAACAGACACTTCATCACGTAGGACAGGCGTCCTCAAACTACGGCCCACGGGCCACATGCAGCCCACCTAGGACGTTTATCCAGCCCGCCAGGTGTTTTTGCCACCGCTGCCTGTCCTGCTTAGCAGCCGACTCGTCCCGGGGCCCACAGTCCAGCCCTTCAACGGTCTGAGGGACAGTGAACTGGCCCCCTGTTTAAAAAGTTTGAGGACCCCTGATGTAGGATATGAAGGTGGCCAGGGAGTGCGAGAGGCACCCAACTTCATTAATCATCGTGTAAATGCATTTCACAACCACAAAGAACCACAACTGTGTTCTCACTCACATGGTTACAGTTTTTAGAAAACTGACCCTCCCGAGTGCTGTTGAGAATGAGTGCCGGGCAGCAGAAATGCTCTGACAGCACCTCTGAGAGCAGAGACAGGCACCTGACTTGGGAAAGCCGTGGGCGTCACGGACCAGAAGCAAACGTATCACATCCCAGGACCTGGCGATTCTGCTCCTGCTCATATGCCCAACAGGCACGTGTACATACATGACAGGCGTGTACATACGTATATCAAAACACATGCTTTCCATGAAAGTGGTATTCTCATAGCCAAGTACTGGAGACAGCCCATGGTCCCCCAGGAGTAGACCAGGTGAAGGTGCCATGGCAGGTTCTTACAGCAGGAAACTGCCAGGCGATGGAATAGACCAGGCGTCCTCAAACTATGGTCCGTGGGCCACAAGCCTCCCACCTAGGACATTTATCCGGTACAATGGGTGTTTTTGCCACCACTGCCTGTCCTGCTTAGCAGCCAACTCATCCCAGGGCCCACAGTCTGGCCCTCCAACAGTCTGAGGGACAGTGAACTGGCCCCCTGTTTAAAAAGTTTGAGGACCCCTGGGAGGACTGTGCCATGGCCATGCCCCCAATCCGGGTGAGTCTCACAGATGTTCCAGGTGATGGATAGACTGACCCACGGCCATGCCCGCAATCCGGGTGAGTCTCACAGATGTTCTTGCCGTGCCCAGGGGTCTTGGGTGATCTCAGTTAACCAGCTTCCCCAGGGGCAGCTATTCCCCTTCAGTCTGGGTCAGTCACAGATCTCTCTTTCGTAAGGGAGTTTTTGCTGTCCTTGTAAGGGGAAGCAGCTTGGTTTTAAGGTTCATGAAAGCTGCTGAGAGTTTGTGTCTCCAGGGCAACATGGATGTTCGGATCCCCCTGTCATACAGACCCAGCAACCCCCAGACCAAACTGCTACGTGACACAGAGTGCCAGCCCCAGGACATGTCTGTGTGGGCCTGTGGCCGTCATCAATGTCACAGCCACGATCGGTCTCCTAGACTCAACCACCAGGTGCTAGGGTGTCACCTGGAAGAAGACAGACTGGAAGGGGTGACTCCTGAATGACACTGCTGACACAGATTCAGGGAAAGTGTTCCTGGGGATACACATAAAGATGGCAGCAACGTTTGGGGACAACAGCCAGGGCAGCCCCAGAGGGAGGCCTCTCGGGGTTACCCTTCCCCTGGTGTTGGTAACATGACTGTTTCTTTTTTACAAATCACTCATTAGTTCATTCATTCATTCAAGCTCTACACTTCGTTTTGTGTTCTTTAATATTCATCTCCAATCTTAAACAAAAGCTTATCTTAAGAGGAATAGGGAAATGTTGCTAAGTTCACAAAGTATATGAAAATCCGGAGAATTAAAGATGCACCATATTTGTTAGCTTAACTTATTAGATTTATAAGCACTATGTAAATGCTTGGAAGCTCTGTTTGCTAGTCAGACAATTGAAATACAAAAAAGAGAAAATCAAACATATTACATATATTAATTTCATTTAAAATACGTAAGGGAATTTAATGTTCTAAGTTTGTAATGGGGATCAAACATTAATCAAAGTTGAATCCAAAGGGGATAAAGAAGTTATTTTTTGATGTGTGATTTTAACAAATCAAATCATAATTTTAAACACAGAAGTTCCTAAGTGACTCTGGAATCATCTTTTCAGTGGACAAAAGCAGTTCTCCAGAATGTTGAAAACGCCAGGTTGGCACCATGTGACACGGTCAACACAGCCCCTAGAATAAAATAGACAAGGAATGTCAGACGGCGTGCTTGCGATTCTAACCGTGTTACAACGTTACGACTATTGTCATCTGTCATGCTGCGTGTCAGTCTGTTTTGTGTTGTTATAAAGGAACACCGAGCCTGGGTAATCTATAAAGAAAAGAGGTGTGTCTGTGCTGCAGGCTGCACAAGCCCAGGGCTGGGGCCAGCACCTGCCACTGGAGAGGACGTCTAGGAGCTTCCAGTCAAGGCGGAAGGTGAAGGGAGCAAGTGTGTCACACAGCGAGCGTGCAAGAGAAGGAGGAGGTTGTGGCAGCTTCTTTTTAGCCACCAGCTCTCTCGGGAACTCATAGGGAAGAGCTGTCACTCCTTCCCTGGGAGGGCACCAGCCATTCGTGTCAGGATCTGGCTCACAACCTGACCCCCATCAGACCCCGCCTCCAACACTGGGGATCAAATTTCAACGTGAGGTTTGGGGACACAAATGTCCATACTACATTATGTGTCAATATAATCTGCATCACAGATTCTTTTGTGTGGGTGGCACCTCTCAGCCACCTGGCCCACCTATTACAAGCCTGCAGTGGAGACAGACACCCCTGAACCATCACAGCGACTCAGAGGGAACGGGGCCCTGAAGACCTGTGGAGACAGACACCCCTGAACCATCACGGTGACTCAGAGGGAACGCGGCCCTGAAGACCTGTGTCACACTTCAATGTCCAGAACGGTCAGCAAATGTTTAGACCTCCGCATCTGAGCTCATTTCGTGCAGCAGCAATGGAAAGTTAACACGACCTTCACACACGTTTGTCTCTGCCCCTCTCCATGGTTCACCTTCTATCTCTTCCTTCCCGTCCACCTCTCCTTTTCCCCAGGACCCGCCGTCCACTTCAGAGTCCTGCCCAGGCAGCTGCGAGGGATATTTCCCCATCCCTACTGGGCAGGGGTGGCTCCTTGGAGCTCACACGTGTGGACACAGCCGCAGTCATGCTCTCCCAGCAAAGAAGAGTTCTCATCTTCCCAATGGCTCCCAACAGGAGGGCAGAGGAACAGCCTGGTAATTACGCTGGGCTGCTGCAGACAGCATTATGGAATCTTCCAATTAAAGGTGTTTTAATTACTCCTCGTCCCACAGCTCCAGCCTGGTCTCCCGGCCTTCAGATAAGGATGCTGGGAGAGCGTGCAAATGGGATTCATCCCAGGACGGGTCCTCCGAGGCCCACCTGAGCCCACTCTACTTCCCTTTGGAATGTGCTTTAATTATCCTCCGCCAGTCACGGCAATCCACATCCAGGGAGGAAATCCCATAATCCCTTTAGTGACAATTAAAAGGGAGGATTTGCCTGCTGCACCCTGAGCATCTCCAGACATCCCGGCTGTTCTTCCTTCTCTCACTTTAATCCTGTTATCTGCTTCCTCGGGGCTCTTTATTACTTTCAAAACCTTATCAGGGAGGAAGTAAACAACCAGGATACCAGTGATGGTTATCTCAAAGGAGTCAGAACTCGTCAGGCATCTTGGGGAACTTCGCACCCAGAGAATGCTCAGAAGGGTCCAGTCCAGGAATGGAGAGGAACTCGCGCCCTAGAAGGACCCCGGGGCCCAGATCACGCATTAGAAACTGGTACTGCAACTGACAGTCCAGGGACCACCTGGCACCCACCCCTCACTCACCTGACACCCCCAGGAAAGGAAAGCCAGGACCAGCTTCCACGGCCAAGTTCTGGATCTGTTTGCCCGGAAGGGCAGCCACTGTTTGAAGATCTCAGTGTACTTTAAAAATTCATGAAGAAGAAAGCTGGGGCAAGACAAAGAGCGTATTTACCTAAGAAGACATCAGCCCAGCAGATGTCATCACTCAGGGGCTCCGGCAGGAGCAGACAGGAGCCCACGGTGCCGAGTGTAGAGTGAGGCCCCAGTGGTCCTGTGTCCCCTCAAGCAGACTGTGGGCCGCGTGTTCCACCAGAGCACGCAAGTGCGGTCACGGCTCAGCACCCTGCACTGTCACCACAGACAGCGGGGGCCATCATCCCCAACCCCAGGGAGCCCACACCAGAGCCCAGGCAGGCGCCTTGTCCCTTCTGCAGACGTGAACCAGGGGCTTCAGAGTCAGGAAGGGGCTCCCAGGAGGAGGCCACAACTTCCTTCCTTGCTGGAGTCTCCAGGCCTAGGAGTGTGGGGACAAGGCGTGGGGTGGGCGAGGGCTGGGGTGCCAATTGCCCAGGAGTGAGAAGTGATCTCCCAGGAGAGGAGGGTGGACACAAGCCCGTTCTGGGGCTGGCTGGTTGCTTCTCAGGGGCCTCCAAGTTACTGGGTGTCATCTGATCTGCTAAAACACAAGGTATGAAAAACATCTTAAGCAAGTTTTAAGCAAACATCCTCATGATTCTGATGTCAGAGGCCCTGCTTGAGAGAACTACGGGAAGCAAAGGCCAGTGCTGAGTGACTGCAGGGGAGCAGGCAGCTGCCGGGAGGGGCTGGACGCAGCCCAGGTCACGTCACCATGCAGCTCCGTGTGTTAATCCTGTGGGGACAGTCTCACCAGCAGGAAGGAACGAGGCCCTCCCCCTCAGGGCCTGTGTGTTTCCTCACCAGGTGAGAGCCGAGCCCTGCCTGGAGCCCAGGCCATCTCTGCAGCGGTCCTCAGCATTCTGTGTCTGAAGCGGCAGGTAGGGCCACTCAGAGGGGTGGGCCGGTAGGATCCTAGGAGAGGCTGGGCTGCTTGGCACAGGTGGGCTGCCTTCCTGTCTCAGCCGTTGGTGGCTAAGAGCACCGGGGCTCAGGAAGCTGAGGGGGAAATTGGAAGGTGGAAACTTGGGTCAGCAAGAGAATGCCAGGGGAGCTGACCTGCCATTCTGAGTCCAGAATGCCCTGGGCACGGGGGCAGCCGTCTGTCCAGGATTGCCCGAGGTCCAGGGTCTGAAATGGGAATTCAGGCTGCTTCCCAGGCCAGCCCAGAGTTTTTATCCATCCGTCTGTAAATGGGAACCACTGCCTTCCATGGCCCTCCCCTGTCTGTGGCTTTGGCTCCAACCCAGCAGCTATTTAAAGTCTTTGTGATTTGGGGACTTTCCTACATTAATATTCATATGGCGCTATAATTATCAGTGACCCTTATTGAGTGTGGCTGGGCCAGGACTTGATGTGTAGACTCACTCAGCCTTCAGGGCACACCTGTGCTGTGTGCAAGATGATGTCCCAGCCCTCAGTGAGAAGCCCACACTCCACCTGGGGGTGGTGCGTTCCCAGGGCCCCAGCGGTACAAAGGTGGGATGTGAACACAGCACGGCCTCCGGAATATGCAGGAGTTTTTAAACAATTCACACCTTGGAAACAGGCAAAAGGATGACTTTCACCACCACAGCGGGCTACAAAGAGCCCACACACCCCCCCGAGTTAATTCTTTGAGGATGTGCCTCTGGTTGCCTTGCTTTTTCCTATTGATTAGGGCTCAGACTCTGAAACTGCTTGTCAAGTGGTAGATTTCAGCCCAGCGGAGATGCAAATGACTTCTCTCTGGTAAAGAAGGTATCCCCACAGGCTGTGACTTTCCTGCCCTGGAGGACACTAACCAGGTTTGTCTTTCATGTAGCAGCCTCATTTCAACCCACTTTTCCTGGCTTGCCACACCAGCATCTGCTCCTCAAATTCTCCTTTGAGTTGGGTTCACTATCCTGCCAGTTCCCTGTGCAGCGAGGTAGGTTAATCTTTGACAAGCATTCGCTCTGTGTTGTTAGAAAGTCCTATTTTTAACTTTTAGAAATGATGTTTGGATTGCCCTTAGCCACTGCCATCCTGCCCCCCTCCCCAGAGCCCCGGCCCTGACGGGAGTCTGCTCCTCCTTGGAGGTCTGGTTTGAAGGCACCTGCTCTTCAAGCTTGCACCATCTAGCCTTCTCCCTGACACCCTGACACCCAAGTGGCACTTACCTCTAATTGCACCCCTATCAGGTATGTACCCCATCTCCATCAGGTATTCACCCCCTTTTCTCTCCAGGCTATGTGATGGAAGGATGGAGGGATGGATCACAGTGGCTGAGAAGGACTTGCCAGGCCCTCTTTTTTTTTTTTTTTTTGAGACAGAGTCTCACTTTGTTGTCCTTGGTGGAGTACTGTGGCATCACAGCTCACAGCAACCTCAAACTCGTAGACTCAAGTGAGCTCTTGCCTCAGCCTCCCAAGTAGCTAAGACTATAGGCACCTGCCACAATACCCAGCTATTTTTAGAGACAGGGTCTCACTCTAGCTCAAGCTAGACTTGAACTCCTGAGCTCAGGCAATCCACCCACCTCAGCCTCCCAGAGTGCTGGGATTATAGACGTGAGCCACTGGGCCCGGGCTGCTGGGTCCTTCTTGTGCTGTTTCACAAAGCTTCACCCTAGCCTCTGACTCCCGAGTGACCTTGGGCAGACCCTGTTCTCTCTGGATCCCAGTTTCCTGACCTTTGAACTCAGAGAGTGGACAGGGTGTTATCAGATGCCTGCCCAGCTCTCGGAGGCTCTGATTGTATTATGTATGCCAAAAATTGATTCACAGACAAATCTTTGAACATCCAGCCACTCGATGACAGTAAGTTCAGAAAGAAACAATATTAATGATGTGAAATTCAAAAACAAAGCAAAAACTCACCCATCAAAATCAGAGTTATATTTGTCAGGAAGCTGCAGAAGCCAAGGCTGATGGGATGAAATCATCTCATGTTTATTCATGGAGCAAGATCCAGTGGTAAGGGGCGCCTCCTCCCTACCAGGGTTCCCCAGGAAGGCCGGAAATGGGGGCTGTGAGACCTGAGCAAAGCTGGGCCCCTCCACCTTCTCCTTCCCTGGCGGGGAAGGGGTGAGATGGCCTGTGCCAGCCTGGGCATCTGTCCTGGCAGGGTCCTGTGCCTTGTGGACAGGCCACGGCTTCCAGAACAACTGGCCACCTGCCCCTGCAGATGCCAGAAAAGGCGGGAGCTAAGAGCTGCCATCTCCCCTGGGAGAGCAATTTGACAGTTTTGCCAAAGAAGGGAATTTTCCCTTTTCCTCTACCTGGGAACCTGGCTTTCTAATACCAGGAATGGGGCATCTATTCCCATTTCAATGCAGAGTGACTTCCAGCTGCAGGAGCCCTGTGGTTCCTTTCTATCGAATTTGCATGGCAATGATTGGAGACCACAGGGGATTGGGAGCCAATTTTTTAGCTGTGAGCTTATCAATGCAGGGGTCTGCTCAAAGTTAACTTCCTCTCGTCCCAGGAAAAGCACCTCCCCCTCCCCATGCCGTCTGATGCCTACTTCAAAATGAAAAGAACAAAAGCTGATAAAAATCAGAAGGCTCACTAGACAGAATACTTAGCATCACTGTGGTGATCAAAAACGTGCAAGAATATCTCACGGACGATGTGCAGGGAGCTCCGATTAAGAAATTCTGTGCCTGAGAAACAGGCCTCTTTCTTCTTCAAAGCTCCGGCATATCAAAGTCTCCCGGAGAAAGAGAAGTGGGTGGGAGATGGGAATGGGGTTTTGAAGATATGTGGATAATTCCCTTCTAGACAGAAAAGTGCCCTCCAAACTGAGAAGGAGTTCTCCCAGTTACCCTCAGTGACAGAAGGTCCCAGAAGGCCAGGACTGCAGCTTGTGGGCCCAGCCCTCACTGATCCCAGGAGATGGGACTGAGGTGGGTGGGCGGTATCCCCTGAGGTGAACCAGGACAGGGAGTGGATGTGCTGACTGGACCCCCCAGGTGTGGATGCTTTCTGGATGTGGGGCACAGATCAAAGCAAGTGGGGAGTCAGCCCATAAGCACTGCCTGAGCCCAGACCCCATGGGTCCCGCAGGAGAGGCCCTCAGTGCCCCCCACTCCCTGCAGACCTATAATGCAAGGGCTAACAGTGTTCTCAGAGACACACAGGCCAGGGAACTTCCTGGGTCCACCAGCCACCAGCCAGGTGCCCTGGAGGCTCGCCTGACCTTCATTCTCCACCTCCTATTATCATCAGTTGCCAGGGGGAGATACCACCTGGATTAGCTACTAAAACACTCAGACCAGCCTACTGGCTCCTGCCCCACATAGAGGAGACAAGAGGAGATGGCAGAGGAGGGACCCACAGGGCAGCTTCTGTCCCCTGAACAGGGGCTGCACCAAGTCTGGAGGCCGCCAGGTGCAGGGCTGTGAGGATTGAGCTTGCCCCATCTCACACTGACACAGGGAGCCCAGGCTGGTCTCAAAGGGAGCAGCAGCGTGTGCAGGGCCCTGGAGACCTCTGGACAGTCCACAGACAGTGGCAGCACTTGCCGACCCAACACTGCTCAATTTTCCCAAGTTCATGTATACGTTTGCTATAATTCCAATCGAAATCTCATTAGATTCCTACAACCTGAGCAAAAGATACTCAAATTTACCTGGAAAAATAAATAGCCCGGAATACCCAGTAAATATCATGGAAAGGGAGAATAAAGGAAGAGATTTTCACGTCAAACACCAGGCTGCATCATTATTCCAAGCGATCGTGGCAATATGGCAGCAGCGGCACAAGCACACCAGAAGGAAGGCGTGAACTTCTAGAGACACATTCAGGAAAACGGATAATCATTCAGGTAGAAACAAAGGCCCGTCTCGGAGCACAGATCAAAACAAACTTCAAAGGTTCAAAACTTTATAGCAAAGAATAAGAATCATGACATTTAGAGTAGAACAAAATACAGGATATTGTTTACCCCATTTCAAAGTAATCAAGGTCTTCAAGAGGAAAAAAGTAAACACATTCATAGAAAAAAAGTTTATATGTTAAGCTTTTTAAAGATTAAAATAAACTTTACTAGAAAATGAACACAAACAGAATTCAGAGGGGGAAAAAAACAAAAATAAAATCTCATCACAATACAGGTGGCCATAAAGTTCATGTGCAATTTTAAATTGCCCATTATTATTATTATTATTTATTTTTTGCAGTTTTTGGCTGGGGCTGGGTTTGAACCTGCCACCTCCGATATATGGGGCTGGCACCCTAGTCCTTTGAGCCACAGGCGCTGCCCTAAATTGCCCATTATTTTAAATTGTCTATGAACTTTATGGCCATCCTGTATATGACTATTGATGTCCTTATTACATAAGGTGGTCTTAGAAAATGACAAGAAGGCTCGGCGCCCGTGGCTCAAGTGGCTAAGGCGCCAGCCACATACACTTAAGGTGGTGGGTTTGAATCCAGCCTGGGCCCGCCAAACAACAATGACGGCTGCAACCAAAAAATAGCCGGGCGTTGTGGCGGGCGCCTGTGGTCTCAGCTACTTGGGAGGTGGAGGCAGGAGACTCGCTTGAGCCCAGGAGTTGGAGGTTGCTGTGAGCTGTGATGCCACGGCACTCTGCCCAGGGGGACAGCTTGAGGCTCTGTCTCAAAAAAAAAAAAAAAAGAAAATGACAAGAAAATAAAATAATAGCCCAAATTGGAAAATGAGCAGGAGGATTATCTGGTAATTCACAAAAGGAAGAGTGGAAGAAACCAAAGAAAATCCCTGTCACACAGCGTCAGTGGGGCTCAGTGGTCGCTACTCACCACCAAACGTGAACTAACTTCCACATTTTCATTTTCTATAAAGAAATCACTTGCCTTTAAAGGAAGCTTCTAGGTCAGGCAATGCAGCAGGGTGTGTGGGGACAACGAGGGGAAGGGGCCTCGCTGGGGTGGAGCTCTTGTCACTGTCTCCCTTCAACTACAAAACGTGGTTGCACTCAGGGAGTAATGGTGCTTACCTGGACACGGATTTGCTTGGAGACAGCGAGAGGACCCGTGGGTCTGAATTTGGGGAGGAGCGTTCCTGAGCAAGAGTCTTTAGGAGAAGATGCCCCGTGACTGGTGTTTCTCCCTCAACACTACCATTGCCACACTGGATTGGAAAGAAAAACAAACTGATTAACCTTTCAAAAACATTCCTCTAATCATCCACTGTGTATTTCATGGTGTTATTAACTAAGGGAGCCAAACTCAACCAGGCAATTTCAGTTTATTCCTGGCATGCCGATGTACAAAGGATGGTTTATGACCATCTAATCGTTAGCAGAGGAAGGTAGGATTCCTGCTGGAGGTGAATCCGTTTTTCTAAATAAACTGCCTTGGGGCAGCCAACCCATCCCAGTGCCCTCAGCGTCCTGTGATGAGTGGGTGGCTATTCCCAGCTGGGAACCTTCACCAAGGGCTGCTTTTTCCTTCATCCCTTCCTGGGTGCCCACTGGTGCTCGGCAGGGTGGCCGTCTCAGTCCAATCACTGTTGCTGTCGCAGAATACCTGAGATTGGGAAATTTATAAAGAAAAGTTAATTGGCTCTCAGTTCTGGAGGCTGGAAATTCCAAAATCAGGCAGCCACCTCTGTCTGGTAAGGGGCTTGTGAAGCCTCATAAGATGGTGATGGCACCCTATGGACGGGCAGGAGAGATGGCTTCCCTTATTGCAACCTGCTCTCATGAGCCATTCCTGCGAGAGGGAGTGAGGACTCGCTGTCAACAATCTAATCACCTCTTACCGGCACTACCTGCCAACACCACAAACTCCAGGAGAGGGGGCACAAACCATGCTCACTCCACAGAAATGGCTTTCCTTGGGCCGTTTGGCTGTATCAGGCCACCAGGGAAGATTTTAATCAGCTGTGTTGACATTCCCAGAGACACTTTGTACACTGAAGCAGAGTTTTCAATGAGGTGCCTGCTGGGACTGACTCCTCTCACCCCCGGGACCCCCAACACCAACCCGGTTCACCACCTTCACTGCCACTGTCTAAAGGTCACCCTCTCTGCCATAATTTGTCACCACCGTGCTACCACCAACCAACAGCCCCACCCCTCACCTCCAGGACCAAGGGGCAACGTCCACTCACACTCTCGTCCACCACCTGTCCCTTCCCCAGTCTGTCCTTGC